CAACAGGAAGCGGGAGGAAACACAGCTTGGGGCCCCCTTGCCAGCCAGTGAGCGGGGCCGCTCTGGCATCGCTCCAGCTGTGGTCGACCAGCATCCCCGTGGCCCCACTGGGCTGAAAACATCCATTTTAAGTGCCTGTCGGCAGCGATTAAAGAGCACAATGCTGACAGCCGTGCGGGGGGAGCCCACGGCCACGCGGTGCTGGGGCTGCCGCAGGGGGAGCGGGAGGGAAGGACTGGCTGCCCAGCACGTCCCGGTGCGGGCGCTGCGGCTGCCGCGGGTCGTGCGAGGCTGCAGGGCCGTTACGCAAGGGCTGGCAAGCAGCGGAGCACGGCCCTTGGATGCCGGGACATCCTGTGTCCCACGCCGGCTCGGGGTGGCCCCAGGCTGATGGGCACCTGTGGAACATCACAGATAGGAAAACTTCTCGTGGCTGCAGGATGCGGCTCAGCCTCGTGATGCTTTTCACATCATGGATGGCAGTTGTGGCACTGGAGGCTCCCAGCTGCTGTGACCAGCTTGGTCATCTGGTATTTGGGGCAGAGGATCTGTACAAAGGGAGAAACTGGCTACTCAAGTTGGTAGTTGTGCTGGGCATTTTCCTTGTGGGGCTTGCAGGCAACTCCAGAGTGGGCAGGCAGCTGGGTGAGGGGCTGCTTGTCCTTTCTGGCTCCTGAACCATAGGGTTGCCAGCTTGTGGCCAGATGGGGAGGAAAGGGCAGGATGGGGAGGTGTTTCTGTGCAGGCAGAGGCCAAGCTTGCCGGTCCTGCTAATCACAATGTCCTACTTGGTGTCTGCATCAAGAACAGGGCTAATCCTAATCCACGGCAAAGATAAAGGGCCACAAGTGCCACATGCCAGGGAGCCATGTTCTGGTTGGCACTGGCCAGGGTGCTTTGGTTTAGTACCCTAAGCCCTGAGGTCAGGCCAGCTAGCCCAGTTCCAGCTGGGTTTAGGTGGTCCTGCCCTCCAGTCCACTGCTGCCAGCAAAGGACAAACACACAGAGCTCACATTTCAAGTTGTGTGTGGCTTTTCAACCCCATCAAATAGCTTTATTCACACAAACGTCCCTTAATTTACAAAGCCTCTGCATTCATACACATCAGGGGATCCACAGTGTTCAAAGAACTTAAATAGAACGTTTCATACCAACCCAAGTAAACCAAGTACAAAAAATATTTATATAAAGTTGTTCACACATAGGTCCTAGATTACCAGCTTCTGTGCAAAAAAAAAAAAAAAGAAGAAAAAAAGAAATAAAAGAAAAATACAGATTTATTTACTAATATTATCTTTAGTTTAGAGTCTGGGTTTAAGCCTTCTGCTCTTGCTAGCTCATCACAGGAGCTCTGGGCAGCAGGGAGAACCCTCAGCAGGGCTGGGGCAGGGTGCCCCCATCCTGGGGCTTACCCAGAACCCTGCTGGTGTGGTAGTGAAGCAGCTCACCCTGCAAAGATGCTGATGTCTGCTGGATGAGTTGAAGACCCATGCTGGCCTGGGTACACCAGGCACTTCTGTGTGGCCTCTGTGAGCTCTTCCATCAGCCTAGACACACCCTCAGGGCTAAAAGCACTTGGGCAGGCTGCAGAGAAATGATCTGGCAGATCACAGCTGGAAGAGAGCAGCTCCCTGCACTTCCCTTCCAGCTACATCCACCAACCCAGACACCCTGCCCTGAAGTGTTAAATGCTTCTGGACTTAAAGGACCCACACGCTGTATGTGCCTGTAAGAAGCTGGGCAGCACAGGAGCCACTAGCACAACTCTTCCCATGCCAGTAGCACAAGCATTGGCTGCATCCCGGTGCAAAGGAAATGAGAGCTCTGCTTTCCCAGTGCTGCCCTGGCTGATGGGATGGGGCTGTGAGGAGTGGAGCACAGCACTGAGCTCCGCTCACCCCTCCCATGCCAGCACTGCCGAAAAGGGGACCAGGAGTACCCTTGCCCCAGGCAGCTGTAGTGTGAGGCTTGGGCAGCACAGGTCTGGGGTAAGGAAGGAAAGCAGCAGCACGTTTCCCTGTTCTCCTGACCTGCAGAAAGCCCAGGGAAACAAATCCCAGTTTGTGTCCTGCAGCAGATACCCTGTGACATTTGGCAGGCTTAAACCCAGACTCGTACTGCATACAGAGGAAACAGACACTGCACACAACGGAGGATTTCCACGATGGTAATGCTTGTTTTACATCTTATTGCTCCAGAAAGGCTCTGTGAGCCTGTGATATGTGAAGGAGCTGGGTCCTGAGGAGTACAGGAAGACCACAGGGGTAACTCTTATCTGTCACTAGCACTGCTGAACCTCAAACACAGCAGCAAGGGGATATAGGGGAGCTAATCTAACCCCTCTAGGCTAGAGCCACCACTGCTTTCCTCCCAATGGACCAAAGCTGGCCGGGAGATCCCCGTGACACCTGCATGATGCCGGTGGTGTCGGCCTTGCTGCAGGCTGGTGCAGATAACACGTTGCCCAATCCTCCTGAGGCTTGGCTTGTTCCCCCCACCCACCCCACATCCCTCTTGTAAACAGCAAAATCAGAAGTAAACAGTTTCATACAATCACTCTCCTGGCGTGGACACCATCTGGGGCCACACGAGCCCAGAGAGTTCTGCAAGGGGGGCTTAGCTCCCCCCAGACTAACCAGCTACCCCCAGCACCTGGATGCTCAGCTTCACTGCATCCAGAAAGAGACAGACAGCATGGCCCTGGGCTGGGAAACGGGCCACAGGCTTGATGCTGCTTTCTTTAACTTGGATTTTCCCAGCGGTGCACTTTAGTGCCAAACATCCACAGCAGAGGAAGAAGTTTGGCCTGCAGGAGCTGGGCAGGTGAGCCCAAATAGACCCACCTGGGAAGAGAAGCTTAAACATTCTCCATCCCACAGCATATGCAGGTTTGAGCTGTTCTCTGTTGCCACCTTGTTCTAGAGGAAGTGCTGGTCTGGGCCAAAGTAACTGAAGGAGAGATGTAGGGAGCTGTAAACACAAGGTTCCTGTATAGTCTGGGGAGTTGAGCACAAACAGCAGCAAAATCAGAGAGAAATGATCTTAAAAGGACAAACTAATCAGGGAAACATCCACGTTGGCCAAAGGCTAGCAGCCCTAGGACCCCTCCTTGGAAGTGTTTGCTAAATCCTAAGTAAGGCACTACGGTCTAGCTCACTAACATCAAGCTGCTTGAAAAACACATCTGCAATGCAAAAGCTGAGGTGGAGACGTGTGGTTTGAAGATGGCCTGAAACAGCAGTGGACCAAGAGGGCTGACCCTCCCAGGGCCTGCTGGACTCACTCCTGTCCTGACAAGAACAGGGCAATCCACTCACTGCCTTCCAGCTTCACCTCCTGCCCTCTTACTGCACCCATTCAGGCCAGGGTTTGGTTAGAACAGCTGTAACAGTCAGGAGCAAAGGCTCTGCCAGGTGGAGGAAGGATGGTCCAGTGATCAGGGCACTAACACTGCACTTGTGAGCTAAATGGTTCACTCTCCCCTTCCTGTGGGATGCAGCACAGGAAGCTGGAGGAATCCCACCCAGTGACAGCCCACAGAAGCATCCCTAGGGACAAACACAAGCACAGTGTGAGAACAAGGGCTTGGCAGTGCATTTGTGCTGTTCAAACCTTCACAAGTCACAGACAACCAGTCTAGAGCCTCCTGGTCCTCCTAAGAAGGACCAGGCCTTCCTGCAGCCACAGCTCTAGCTCTGTGTCCTGGAATAGATGGAAGAGAAGAAAGAAGCCTCTCCATCCTTTCCCTGCTCTGCCTGAGCCCACCTGAATTTCCTCCTTTTCCATTCACTCCTGTGAGGTCAGCATAGTACATTGAGGAGATACAGGGAGGTGCTGCCAGTTAGGAACCTTCCAGTGATGTCAGAGGAAAGCTGTAGGCAAGCAGTTCCCACAGCCAGGGATGAAGGGGCCAGGCTGACCCTTTCCTACCCATGGCCAGCTCCAGACTGAGCACCCTGGCAGCTCAGGAGTGATGCTGGGTCAGACCAGCCCACTTCTCAAACCACTGCTGGGTGATTTCACCTGCTGAGAAACATTTTAGGTGGTTCAGAAGCTGCAGGGTGGAGAAGAGGTGGTGCTTTACATTGCATTTACAGTGAGCAAAGTCTAAAGATCATCAACACAGGGCAGCCCGAGAATAGGAGTTTTGCTACGAGTATTAACTGCTCAGCCTGAGGCTCCAATCTCCTGACCTGAGCTGTACTGTAACACACCCTGAACTGCAGCATTGCCTTTTGCTTCCTGGAGATCATTAGCTAGCAGGAAAAAAGTGTCCTGTGGGAGGCTAGAATCCAGCCCATGACCCATTAAGGCCAAACCTCCTTCTCTCCACAGCATTGTTCCTATCGACTGAAGTTTGGCATTAAATGGATCAGAGCAGTGGACTGCTTTCTGTTTCTCTTGGATGATATCAACCTGAAAATGTACTCAGCAGCTCCCCAGTTCCCTCTGTATAGAAAGACAGTAACAAAGATGATCATGAAATCCAGCTTGAGAAGACCTGCTTTGCCAAATGGCTTTCCAGCTTGTTTATCCTACTCTATCCTAATGTCAGCTGCTCACAAGCCTGGGCAGCACCACCTATTCAGGAGCTGCCTGCTATGAAGTTATTTAGCTGCTTGCAAGATGTGGTCCAAAAGACTTATTTTTCCTAAAGCACTGCACTCCCAATGCAAACCTAGCCACCACTTTGCTCCCATTCTCCCTAGGCAAAATCAATAGCTTCGAACCCAAAACTGTGCCCAGCCGGACTTGGAGCTGGTGCCTGGCAGCACACCTCGCCACCAGGCTGCTGATTCCCACTTTTTTATGAACCCACATTCTTAGAAACATCTACTGAGTCAAACAGCAGCACAGGAGACATAGGGAGGGCTGGGCAAAGGCAGCTCTGCTCTCTGGATCTTGTTTCAAAGTCTCATGAGTGTGACAGCTGCCAGCTTGTGTTCTTCCACAGGTCCCTGAAGCCCCCTCCCGCACCCCCACAACACCCCTTCCCAACACAAAAAGTAACACCCAAATATTTCACATTGCCAGAGATCCTGCAGACCAGGGATCTTCTGTATCATCATCTTCCCTTATCTTTGACTTCCTTGTTGCACGTAAATAATGGAGATTATGGGTCCCTGGTAAATAAATCTGCAAGAAAAAAGAAGAGAGGAGAAAGAGAGGTCAGGCTTGTCGATGATTTGTCTCAGTTATTACATTGTGACTCCAGGAATTGGCTGCTGGACGGAGGGGGTGTAGGACACCACTCCTGCCACCTGCCCACTTATCCCAGTTAGTCCAAAACGAGTGCTGCCACATCTCTCTACTGCCCAGTGCTTTTGCTATTGATCCAGATAGGAATTGGGCTCAGTTTACAGTCAGTTTTTTCCCAGAGGGATTCAGACAGCAGCATATGGAGCACACTGCCAAGGACAGCACATGTCCAGCTGCCCCAGGGCAGGGGCTGAGCTGGGACAGGCTGGCTGGGGCTCCCCATACCTCCACAACACAGCCCCATCCCACACAGCTCTTGCTGGAACAAGGACAAGTGTTCCCACGGCAGAGCCTGTCCTTGAGAGTACATGTGACATGTCTGTGAGTGCTGGCTCCCCGTACTCCATCAGGAAAGATGGAACAAGCTGCAACCCCAGAGATGCCCTGCACCACTCACCCCCTGCGTCAGCAGCAGCTCAGACATTGTGAGTGGCTCTGCAAAAGGTAAAATCCAGGCTGGTGCAAATGGAAGCAGGAGAGGTTTGTAGCTCAGCCCATAACAATGCTCAGTGACAGGGGTTTTAGAGTAGAACAGGCAGGTATTTGCTGCACCAATCCCTGCTTTAGCCAAAGCCTCAACACACCACAACCCCCACAGTCCCTGCAGCAACAGAGGTGCTGCACCCATTCATCCACAGCCCTGGCACCCTCCTGTCCTCTGAGCTCAGGGACATGGGAATGTTCAACTCTGCACATAAGCCACCAGCGTCTTCCACACAATTTGTATGCAACCCAGAAAATTCCCTGTGAACAGCAGAAGAACAGCACACACGTACACATGATGTCACTTCTGTACTGAAAATACATCCTTTAGGATGTTCCAAACTCAAGGAGGCACCAGCAGAGCTGAGGGCAGTGGTTCTGCTAGGAAGCAGAGGGGGTGGTCCATGAGCTCTATACTCAGTTACATGGGAAAAAAATGTGGGGGGTGGATTTAGCTCCCCATTCAGCAGGGGCAGGTCCCACCCCACCAGGGATAGGCAAGGGGCTCTGCAGAGACACCAAGGGAGCAGTGGGAAAGACCCGCTGCACAAAAAATGCCAGTGCCTGGGAAATTACTCCAATCCCTTGGCCCTAGGAAATCTCATTAAAGAAATCCCTGTCTGAGAAACACATTTCTAAAGGACAAGGCTGCTCAGAGCAGAAGGCAGGGTCGTGGGCACACTCCTTTCCAGGAGAGGTTAACCAATGGATGCCACTTTTGCAGGCTGCCATCAGAATAAAGCCTTTCTGTTTGAGGAAGCGAGAGGCACACAGACATCAGGTCATGGCAAACATACAAGGATTCTTCTGGAAGATTTCTCCTATTATGCAGCTTCATTAGCAAGTAGGGCAGGGTTTCTGTTTGTGCTTCCCTGGAGTAGGAACATTTTCAGGGAAGGCGCTTGCTCGAGTAGCCCTGAGCTCACTGCTCTGAGGCAGGAGAGCTCACCCCACTGACGCACATTTTTGCAGGGGCTTGTTCAAGAGCATTTAATCCCTCCACTGATGCCACTTATAGTTTTAATCAGCTCGAATGTTCATTCGGCATCAGCAGGATGTGAACCAGCAGTCCATGGACCTCGCACCCAGCACGCAAGATGACACCAGTGCGTGGGTCACACAGAGGGGCGGTGGCAGAGAGGACTCTGCAGAGGAGGGAGAGATAACCCCTCACCTCCTCGTGTTAACCATGTCATCTGCCCCTGTGTGGGAACACAGAGTGCAAGGGAAGGAGGCTGAGCACCTGATTTATCTCCTGAGCCTTCCCTCATGCTCTGTACCTATACTTGTGACGCATTCCTTGTGTGCATCCTTACATCCAACTGCAGTGACCTCCCCAGAAGGCAAAGCAGGGGTGACTGAGCAAACACAAACACCAATACAACTGGCCAGAGGTGACATGGTCCAGGTCACTCTCAGGGCTTCATTTCACCCCAGGTAGAATCAACACTGCCCAGAAGGGTGTTGCCACTCTATGGGATGGCCCCTGTGATGCTGCATTCTACAGTTATGAGAAGAGGAACTGACCTTGCTTTTACTGTCCTGTGGCTTTTGTCCATGCCAAGATCCACAAACCACACTGAAAACTGTCCAAAGTCAAAACCAACATTGTTTCAGGAATTAAACTGCTGTCCTTTAACTGGCCAGTGAGTAAAACGTCAGCTGAGTGATACTAACAGACGAGATCTAATTTGATGCAGCAGCCCCTGTTCACTGACAGCTCTCAGAGCTGCTGCTGTGTCCCTGATCCCTGTCCATCCTCCAGCTCTGAAATTCCACAGGGCAGCAGTTTATCAGCAGTGCTGGGAGTGGTTGGGCACAGCACCAGAGAGCTCTGGCCAGGATAGACACCATCATGCAGGGTGAGCAGATGAGCTTGTTCAGCTCCTGGTGCACGTTGGAAATGCAAAGAGCAGAACAATGGAAATACAAACAGCCACTTTCAGCTGAAACTGGAATAATCAAACCCAGTGACAGAGGAGTGCTGGAGAGAACCAGACTGGCCACAGCTATTGAACACCTGCCTGCCCATGACAGCCCCTGAGACGCTGCAGCCTGCACAGATTCTTGCCATTCATCTTGAACATCCACCCAAACTCAGACCATTTTACCCACAAGTGAAAATATGGAATACAATCTACCAGAACAAACTGCCTCTACACTGATCACAGCAATTGGAGTTTGATGTCCTGTGTGAATCAAAACTACAAAGTTTCTTAAACACTTAACTGTGGTGGGTGATGCTGTACTTGTCCCTTGTGTTTCTGTGGCCAAGGCCCCTGTGTCACTGCAGTGAGCAGCAAAGGGAGACATTGCCACTGCACCTTTTTCCTCTGCAACCTAAGGGTTGCACAAACCCAGTCCATCAGAGGAGCAGCATCTCCGGGAGGACCCTCACCATCCCCAGGGAACCTGGAGGGCAACTACAAAGTCGACATAGAAAGAAAGATGTCACATCGCAGGAAAGGAGAGTCATTCCAGCTTTCCAGTACTGTGAAGGAGGGGTGAAATACTCCCTAGTGGGCAGTGCAGTCAGTGCTGGGCTATCACACAAAGAGACCCAGCAGATACCCAGCACAACCCAGCCACTCCCTAATTGCACTAGAAAGGCTTTTGTCCTCTTTGCCCAAAAGGCAGCTTTTGCCAGCAACTCCAGAGAACTGTAGATAAACTTGGCTATATCTAAACAGTTGCAGAAGGTAGGGAAGAAATGTTCAAATTAAAGAGAGAATACCTTTGTTTTCCCCTCTGCCCACCTCTGCTGGAACTATTGCCCCCCGACCACCAGCTGTGGGAAGAGCAAGGAGATAAGAAGTCAAGGAGTTATCTCCACCTCAGGCAGCCCAGTGTCCAGCATAAACCAAGCCAAAAACACTTTCCTGTCTGAGACTGACATTTGCTATCTGCATTTTGGAAGGGTAACAGAGCATGAAGCTCTCAGGTGTGTGCAGCATCCATGACAGAAGAAAAGGCAAAGCTACTGAGACATGAAGCGAAATCTGAAGAGGTCAGTGGCATAGCAAAGAATAAGCAAAAATCCAATTCCCTGGCTTGGGGAGGGTTAGAGTTTTCCAGGTTATGACATGAATGAACCAAGGCTGAGCAGGCCTGAACCATCCTGGGGAAGAACCTGCTGCATAACCCAGCATAGCAAAGCCACATGCCAGTGCCACAAATAAGTTGGAAGAGGTTACGTGAGTTTCTCGGTCAACTAAAATTACCTGAGAGCAGAATTCAGGCTCTGCTCTAAATCCCATTTTAAGCTTCTCAAGCAGGTTTCCAATTTAAGATTTGCATTTAATAGCAGCCAGAAGAAGGCTGATTGATTTGAATTTTGAATGCACAACTACACCAGGAAAACCATACGGTAAAGCACACCAAATATTCTGCCTGCCCCACAAGTGAGGTGGAGGAGCACTGTGGGTTTGCAGAGAACATATGGCTGGTGCTGGGCTCTATCTGGGCCAAGCGACCACGCTCCATGTGCCAGGCTGGGTTATGTAAGAGCATCCCTGGCTGCTGCAGCTGTGTCACGACGGAGTGATCGGTGCAGACTCACGGATGGAGTGTGTGTGTGTTGGGGGGGGGCTGCAGAAGGCAGCTGGGTTTGAGCAAACAGCCGCGGGGTAGGACTGTCCCCTCGGTGTTTGTTATCCCTTCATGTACTATTCCGCAGATCTGCGCAGGATGAATCTTCCCCCGAGGGCAGGGGCTGGTTGCATAACGCAGCAGCATCGTGTCAGCACAGAGCCAGCGCAGATGGCAGAGCCCTGCCTGACCCTCCACGTGCGGCAGAGCTGCTCCCACTGCCCCACGCCTCGCCCCGGGGCACAAGGCAGGGTGTCTGCTCTTGCCCCGGGGCTGGAGCACACCCATCTTAAGGGCTCACATTTCCACAGATTCACTCCCCCACCCTAATCCCCAGCCCACACTTGTACTGGGACCAGTATCCAGCCCCAGGCAGCAGTGCTTGAACCAGTTACTTGCACTTGAGATAGGTGTTAAATATTTTGTGCGTGGAAAAGTGCAGAGGGGATGGTCTGTGGACCAGTGTAGACAAACCAACAGAGAAGAACAAGACCCAGCCAATGGCTCTTTTCACTTCCATCCTATTTCTCTACATACAGCACAGAGTGTACCTGGGCACACAGAGAGAGGGGGGTCAGGCACCACAGCGTTTTCCATAAGCTCAGAAACCCCTCAGGTGGCAGCAATGAGGGGTTTTAGCAAAACTCACCAAAATACCTGCACCTTCCCCACCACCTGCTGCTGGAGGCTTGTTCTCAGCACTGGACAAGCACACAGCCATCAGCTGAGGACTGGTGAGTGCTGGCCAGGGACACGTTTTCCTCCCTCTTTGCCCTCTTGCATCCATGATCAGCTCCAGTCCAGTTGGCTGTGTGGTTCTGGGGTGAGGTGAGGGCTGTGGCCCAAGCTGTGATGGCAACACCTGACACAGGCAGGCTGTCAAAGATCTCCTGGGACCAGTGATGGGCAGGCAGCTCTGCAGGAGCCTGAGAAAGGATGTGGGCTGGAAAGATGTCAGCCTCACCCCTGGTAATATGTAATTCTTCAGTTTCATTGAAATGTTTAGCTGGGAGAATCCCTAGTAACAGTTCCTGTTTACAGACAGCTTTGCCATTTAGGCAACACCTCCCAGTCCTGCTGTGTCACTGGGAGTTACACTGTTAGCTACATCACATCCCTGGGGGTCCTTCCAGACCATGTGTGACCACCCAGGCCTCAGGATCAGGACCTCTGAGCTTCAGACTGTTTAGCGGGGGGGTGGGGACACGACAAGGGAGGGGACTCTGTTTGGACAGAGCTGAGCTCAGTCTGAGCAGAGCTGTTTTTAAGCTTCCTTCCTGAGCAGACAGGTCTACAAACACACATTCTGGAGACCAAAGCATCTCCTGGGTTTGGGCCACTGATGTTCACACCAAAGGGAAGTCCTGCCTTTAATAGGGAAATGAAACAGATCCACAGGATGGACCCATGTGCCTTGTAGGTGAAAGCAAAGAGTTTTGTGCCAAGACAGATGTGCTACTTGGTGCCTACCCACTGAGCCAGCTGGGCCCTGAGGTGTCCTGTTCAAATGTCACAAGGGAGGGGGATGGTACTAGACAAGGAGTTTCAGCACAGACCATGGAAATTACATCACACAGCAAAGGAGGCAGAACTGGGAGATTCCTCCCTGACCCTGAGAGAGACAGATGTCCCCAAAGCTTAAACCAAGTGCTTGCACGTGTCTCCACTGTGCCCCAGCCTGTCTCAGCCACTAGCCAGCACCTCTGAGGAACAAGGCTCCTGCCCAGCCCTTCCAGCTCCACTGGGCCCTGGGGCAGTGACAGCATGTGCAGCTGCTAATTCTATTTCTCACCTCTACTTTATTTTTGCAGTAGAATAGGTGAAAACAACCTCAGAAGCAGTGCTCTGATGAGTCACTACAGAAATAGCTCTAGGAACATAAAAGACTCCTTTGTGCCACTACAAAGTGCACCATTGGACCAGTAAAGGCGACAGAAATAAGACAAAAAGTGCGAATCACTTACCCAGCTGCAAAGCACAGTGGTGCCCTGCCCTGAATTTAAGCAGCACATGTAACCTGGTCCATTCTGGTTTCAAGCTCAAAGGCATCAGGTCGATCCTGCGGGTTAGCAGCCAACATGTCTTTCAGGAGCTGCTTGATCCCCTCAGACATGGAAGTCCTGCGTTTCTGAGGGATATGCAGCTCCATCTTTGGGTTTTCTAGCAGCGCTTCCCCAACGGGCACAATCTCGGTCCCCTGCTTGATGTAAGTCCCCAGCAGCTCCTTCTTGGTCTCAGCGTCAATGAAAGTGATCCTCTCAATCATGGCCCAGATGATGATGCCGAGGGCGAAGATGTCAGCCTTGGCAGTGTAGTGCCCCTCCCACACCTCCGGTGCCATGTAGAAGTCAGAGCCACAGGCTGAGGACAGCCAGTACTTGTTCACATTCACATTTTTGTTCTCATGCGCACCCTCCTTGCCCCGAGCAGTCAGGCCAGCACAGACCTTGCTCAGCCCAAAGTCTGCCACCTTGAGCACAGGGGTGCCAGATTTCTCAGTTATCAGGATGTTGTCTGGCTTCAGGTCCCGGTGGACAATGTGGTTCTTGTGCAGGAAGGCAATGGCACTGGTCAGCTGCAGCATGAAGCTCTTGTTGGTGGCTGGGTCGGGCCTTCGGGACAGCACGTACTGGTTGAGGTCTCCCCCTTCACAGAACTCCATGACAAACCACAGGTAGCAAGGTTCCTCTGCATAGCCCAGGATCCTCTCACCTGACCAAAAGGGATAAAAGAGTGGGTTTTTTAGACACATTTCAAACATACTAACCCCAGGATGGCTAAGGAACAGGTCTGGTTTATGTGGATAGCAAAAGTTTGGGGAATGTGACCGGGACCTATGGCATTGCAGGGCACCAACAGTGATGGTGGCACTGCTGTGGCTTCAAGCACTTGGGGATCCTGTTGAGCACGACACACCAGCACCACATTCATCCAAACCCACTGCTGGGAGCCAGCTCAGGGACTTCCTCCCAGCAAAGTGCAGAGAACACATCTTTAGTCCTACCATCAGGCTATTCTCCCCAGGCTCTGACAGCCAAAGCAGCAGAGGCTAAAAGCACAATTAGCAGTGAGTCCACAGGAAAAAAAAATTAAAAAATCACTTTTATGAATGCCTCCTCTTCCACCTGAGCTCTGCTGCAGGAGGCAAAGGCTGGCTGTTCATTCCATATACTTTATTGGAACTGCACACAGGGAGTAAATCACAGCCCTTAACACTGCACCAGCACAGTCTTGCCAAGAGTCGTCACACTGGTGTCCAAGCCCTATTGCCCACTGGGTCTTCCCCAACCAATTTTGTACATTTAAGGATTGCATTTGTGCTGGGGAAACTGCCACTTCATCCAGCTTTTATTAAGTGCCAACAAGTTTTTAATGAGAGGAAACTGGAGGTCCAAGCTGCAAACAATGTTTGCTGAGTGTAATCTCAGCCACACTTATGACTATAAGTACTCCTACTACTCAGTATTACACCCCAAACAGCTTCTACCTTCACCAGACATCAAACTGAACTCTTCAAGCTCAGAGCATCTCAGACTTTATAAAACTCCTGCCTAAGGAAGGACTCTCTTGCACATCAATCAGACATGTGAAGAACATGACAGCATCATATCAGTTAATGGGGCCAGGTCTGCCACTGGTACTCCCCAGGGATGCCAGGATGCCCCAGGGAGCACTGGCAACAGACCCATCCCCATTAGCTGATGCCAGGAATGCAAACCCCACAGTCAGACCCCAAGTCTCCTCCAGAAAGCCCCCAGGTGATTGGCAGAGCCTGCACATACCACCAGAGCATCATTTTGCTCTAGAAATTGATTTTTTTTTTATCCTCAAGCACTATAAGAGAGAAGCTGAAGGATACCACTCACCTCTGCCACAGTTAAAAAGTCCCACAGCCAAACTCAAGTGTTTTTGAAAGCAGTTAAATAACTCCACCCATTTGACAAAGTTGGGTTTTGTTTCAGCAAAGCCCTAGAGAGCATCTGGGAAAGCAAAAAGTTTCCAGCAGCAGGTAAAGCCAAGGACTACCAGGGACACCCAGCCCTGGGCTGCACTGGTCAGCAGTTGGTGTGGGTGGGAATATTGGTTATTTGCACAAACAGTCTGTATCCATGGCTACTGCTATGGAAATGGAAATCTGCACAACAGAAGGATTTGGCTGCACTTCCCCATCCTCAGCAATCTCTTGCTGAGATTAGGTCTGAAGGTTAGATCTGGGGGATGAAAGAACAGGATGGAGTTACACAGGATACTGGATGCACTTTGGGGGTCTCATCTGACTGGAAGGAGGCTCACCATTGAAAGCCCAAGGGCCAGCTGAGAGCAGCACAGAACAGCTTGGCTCTGGAGACCAAAATGCTGACCAGGAAAAGCAGTTTCTCTGATGCAAGCTACCTTTGGCATGACAGCACAGAAACTGAAGGAGAGGCTGCTTGTCCTAGGAGCAGAGGCCTCGGCACAGCCAGGAGAGCTCCAGCTCACACAGCAGCCACCACTTCAATTTGATAAACCCTAGGGACATCACAGCAGGACACAGGGTTTGGCCTTCCTGCTCCCATCTGCAGCCATACAGCCCAAACACAAGGAGGAGTGCCTGTTTCTTCTCTGCCAGGAATCAAACCATGACAGGGAGCATGGCAGAGCCCCACATCCCTCACACACAGCCAGGTGGGAGCATCCACACAGCACTGCTGGCAGCCCCTTCCCACAGGAAGTGGCTCAAACACGCTCAGCAGCCAGGACATGTTAGCTCTGACAAGCCAAGGTTTGTTTTTAGCATAAGGAAGGCTCTGATTTAAAACTTGGCCCCTGAACCTCAGCAAGGGCATGAAAGATGACAGGGATCCAGCAGTAGCTGTGAGCACCAGGCACTTCACTTTGGGTGGAGCACAGAGTAGAGGTTTAAGCCAAAAGCCTCATTTTCATCATTTTCTTTCTATAATCTGAAAGTGTTTTAGTTGTTAAATCATCTTCCTGCCTTCAAAACAAACATCTTTAAACATAAAGAGCTGGCAAGGCGCTCCCTAAAGATGAAGCAAACTGAAGACAAGCAGTCGAGAGCTGAGGAGATGCCAATGACAGGCTGGACCTGTTCTCTATCACTAAGCCAGCATCCCCATGTGCTCCCTGCCCAAACACAGGATGGCAAACACTCACACTCCATCTTTCCAGCAGCATACACACACCTCCCCCACCCCATCCTGGGGAGCTCATTAGCAGCGTGCCAATTTGCTCAGCTTCACCGGGGAAATAAAAATCCAGTGAGAGCAGAAGCAGCACCCCAATGCCCACCATCACATGCAACCTCTGACTCCCTCTGTGCAAGGAGGCCGCACCAGAGAGATGGGAGCTGGCAGAATGGAATTCCAGGCAGTTGGAATGATGGCAACAAAGGTAGGTGATGCCAGGGCAGCCCACGAGTGAGGCTGAGTGCTGGCGGCAGGGTGATGGACCCACAGATGATATGGGAGGAACAGGAAGCAACACCTTATACCTGTTCACTTCAGGCAGCTCTGCCACTGCTCTAGTTAGGAACTAGAGGGGTTTGTGATGTGCACAAGCACTGGAGGTGCTCCTGTGTCAGGGCTCTGAGCACATTGCTCGGGTACGTGCCTCTCCTCCAGCTCAGCGCCAAGCTTTCACCTTCCTTTTCACACCCTGCCCTTAAATTTAATTACTTCACATCTCGTTAAAATGATAAAGGTTCAGGCTCTGTGCCATAGCTGAGACCAAACCCCGCCTGGTATCCTGACAGTTGTGCTCCCAATTCAGAAAGTCTCGGATTAATCCTCGCCATGCCCTGAGCCCCAGCACGTTGGCACAGCATCTGCGCTGGCCCGTAAATAGCCCAGCTGCGGTCGTGCAGAATGGCACGGCAGCACAGCTCCACGGCCACCGCCACAGCTCCAGCTCTGCTGCCGACAGGGAAGGAGAGCAGGAGACCTGCAGGGCTCATCCAGCTCCAGCTTTTGTTTTGAAAATATTTATCCACATCTATCAGACCCAAGGCTTGGGAAGGCAGCAAGCACAGGCTGCCTGGCACAACACAACCCCGAGGGCAGCCTGGCAGACAGAAAGGAGAATGTGCTCCAGCTTGGTTTTAGGAGCTACTCCTGTCCAGACTGGGGATGCAGAGCCCAGCTCTGCTCCCCTTGAGGGGCTGCAGCAGGACCAGAGCAGGCAAAGCCTTCCCCACTGCTGGGAATTCAGGAGGCTCAGCCCCCACCTAGAGATGGGGCATCTAAGGGTCTCCTTCCCCACCTGGAGATGAAGCATCTCCAGCTACCCAAGACCTTTCCCCAAGCCAAGCCACTTCTCCTCAGAATGTGCAACATCACAGAGGGGGCCAGCCCCATTCCTGCTACAACTGGACACACACCCAAAGGGAAGAGTTGGCTCTGCTCCCAGGGAACTGTGTGCCCTGGCTGTACAGGAATTTGGACACTGCCCTTCTCAGGGAGCCTCCCTTGGGTGGTTGTGTGAAGGAAGAGCAGGAGCTGGGATGCATGGTGTCCCTAGGCAGGTCTGGACATGTCCACCCACCACAGATAGAGGGGACAGGCAAGGCAGGGACAGTCAGAGCCACAGGTTTGCTCAAAGATTTCAGGAGCTTTGCATGAACTCTGTGCCTAGCACAGGGTCTGGGGGCTCAGGGAGACTGGGCACTGCAAGGAGCTGACAGGAATCCCGGCACACAAGTTTGGGGAAGGAAGGATTGGGGTGACTGGCTCTGCTCACAGCAGGCTGGGGGGCACAGGGGCATCAAGGGCACAGGACTCCAGTATTTTTCCACATCTTCACAGCACGTTGGCAAAGCTGGGTCTGACAAGCAGCCAAGGGAGCAAAGGGAGGGAGGGAGCATTTTGGAGATGCTACCATCACAACCATTGGCTGTGACAGGAGGTGACCCCTGACAGCCCCGTGATGCTGCTGAGGGACCCCAGGGGAAAATGGGTGTATCAGCCCAGGCTACAGCCATTAGTGCTTCCAGGGGTGTTCCCACAGAGCCAGCAATGGGGTGGCCACGGGAACAGTCCAAAACTGTGAGACCTTGAGCCATAACAGGCTGCAGCCCTGGGGTGATCAGAGATGGGACAGTACATTGGGCAGAGAGGGAGAGATGTCCCCTTGGTGTGACTGGGGCACAGGCTGTGAAGGTCCCCATGGGATGTGTGTATGGACTATGGACTATGGCACAGGTCAGGGCAGCAAATAGAACCTCAGGATTTAGGGTATAAGGGAGAATGAGTCGGTGCAAGCCAGGGGTCCAGCACACTGGGATGTCTCCCCCAAGGGTTAGGTTTGAGCCTGGAGGTGACAACAGGGCCCCTCAGGATTGGGAGCAGGACTGCAGTGCACATGGTGGGACCCCACTGGCTGCAAGACACAGGTGGGGTTTAGGGAATGGTTTCCTGGGAGCTTCATACAGGAACAAGAGTGGAGAGGATGGCACAACAATGGGGGACAGGAACACGGGTCCCTCAGGTGTGTTCAGGGCGACTGGCAGCAAAGGAATCCTGTGGGGGAGCCCTGCAGGGATGGGTGATGTCAGCAAGCCTAGAGCAGATATCCCAGGGAGGACCCAAAGAGTGCAAAGGGGTCATCGGTGCTCAGGGGCACAGTGGGGAGAACCCAGAGGTGGTTACTCTGGAAAAGCAGTGAGTCAAGGCGAGAAGAAGGGCACTATGAGAGCTGGGGGGAGTTTTGAGTGGTCTTAAGTGCAGGGTGGTCTTAATGGCCAGGAAGGATTTGAGCAATAGGGTGATGGGGAGCAAGCGAAGACAGCGGCAGTGCCTGAGGTGCAGGTATTGTGGAAGAGTGCCATGGAGAAGGGAGACATAACCAAGATGTCCTGCATGGGACATCCCAGCAGTCAACCTGCTCTGCGGGTGTAACCTGGGAGTGGGGCAGGAGGATCCGGGTGTGGGGGCCATTGATGGCAGCAGGAAGGTGGCAGATCCAGGTGCTCAGGGGTAGGGATGGGTATCAGGAACAGGGACCCTGGAGGCCCTGGGCGGGGGAGGGCAGCCGGGGAGGTGCGCCAGGAGGGCGCTGGGGCCGTGCCGGGCATGCCCCGAGGGTGCCGGTACCTTTGAGGGAGGTCTCGACGAGGCGCAGGTAGAGCTGGCTGCGCTTGTTGCCGTGGCTCATGCGCTGCCCCAGGCCGTGCCGCTGCAGGACGCACTCCTCAAAGCGCACCACGTTGGGGTGCTGCCGCCGGAGGCTCGTCAGGGCCCAGAACTCGGCCAGCGCCAGCTCCACGTTCTCGGGAGCGTCGCAACGGATCCGCTTCACCGCCAGCCGGGCGCCGCTGCGGCCCGACACCGCCTCGTACACCACGCCGTAGGCGCCGCGGCCGATCTCGGCCAGCAGGCTGTACCGCGGGCCGCCGCCGCCACCGCCGATGCCCGGCCCCGCCACCGCCGCCGCCGCCATGGCCCCGCGCCGCGTCGCCCGCCGCCGCCGCAACGTCCTTTGTGTCCCGCGGCGGCCGCCGTCCATGGCCCCCCCCGCCCCGCGTGCCGGGCAGCGCCGCGCGGGCGAGGGGGCACGCGCCGATGCCGCCGCCGCGCCGCGGGGCGGAAAAGCGCGCGCTGCCGGCCCCTTTAAGCGTTCGGCCAATCGCGGCCGCGCGGGGCGAACCACCGCGGCGCCGGGGGGGGGCGGCGACCGCGGCGGCGGGGCTCGGCTTCTCCCCGGTGCCGGCCCCGTACTCAGAAAGGGGGGTCCGGGCTTCCCGCACCGGGCGCAGTAACCGGGTCGCTGCGCTGCCAGCGCGGCTCGGCGTGGCCGGGGCTCAGCGCGAAGGCAGGCCCCTCCCGCTCCCCCGCCACGGTGGTACGCGCCGCGCCGGTGTAAACAGGCCGGTCATGGGGGCCCCGGCGTCCGCCGCGGGTCCCCCCTTGTCCCTCCCTCCGGGTGCGGCCCCGGGGAGGCGGTGCAGGCTCGGCCTGGCCCGCGGGGCTCACCTGGGGAGCGGCGGCGGGGGCTCCGGGCCGGGCGCCACGCGGCGGCGTGTGAACGGGAGGGGTGGGGGAGCGGCGGCGGCGGTGGCGGTGGGATAAGAGCGTGGCCGCGCGCCCTGACGTAACCCCTTATGTAACGGCGGGGGGTGACCCGCCCCCAGCAGCCCCCTCCCACCGCCCCGGGACGGGCGGGATGTCCCGGGGCGGGTTGGGAGGAGAGTTGCACCGGCGGTAGCCGTGCGGTACAAGGGGACCGGTGCACCGGGGAGGGCTGTGTGTGATGCCGCCAGGGGAGTGATGCTCCGGGACACGGTGCGCCGGCAGTAGCTCGGTGCACCGGGGAGGGGGGCGGTGCGCACATTGTAGGTGATGACCCGGCGGGGAGGCGATGCCGTCAAGGAGGTGATTCCCCGGGGAGGGGGTGGTGCCCCGGGACCCGGTTAATCCCCGGGACCCGTTGCGCCAGCGGTAGGCGCGTGGTGCTGATGTTCGGTGAACTGGCGCTGTGCAGCCGCACCGGGAAGGGCGGACGCGCGGCTCGGGGGCGGTTTCACAGCATTCGGGGACCCTTCCCGGGCGCCGCGCTCACCCCGAAAGTTCGACGCCACTGCCGAGGATCACCAGGGAGTTTCCAACTGGAAGTTCCCCGGGAAAGTGGCTGCGATCCCGAGAGGATCCCGCTGTCCTGCGGGCCGGGACCGAGGGTTTTGGGGGCACCCACCGGGAGTCCGTGTGGCGGGACGGGCACTGGTCACCAAGAGCAACCGCCCTACGGCGGGACCCCGAGGGGTGGCGAGGGTCGGGGGGAGACGGTGGGACTGCAGTGTGTCCCCCCGGGATGGCCGTGTCCCCGCGGAGCTGTCTTGTGGGGCTGGTTTGGTGGCATTTCTCCTGCGAGCAGGTGGGGTGGTCCACAGAGGTCCCTGTCCCGTCCCCAAATTGTTTTTCACCCCCCGAGCCGTGGGCATCACGAGTATCCATCCGTCCGCTCCTGGTTGCCCGGGGGTCTCATTCTGTTCCTGGCGCTGCTGGTGGCTGGCAGCCCGCCGGGGCTCGAGGCTTTGCACGCCGCCGTCTCGCTCCCCGTGGATTTGGGGAGGGAATGGCGATCCAACCCCGCAAAAATGTTCTTTTCCAGCCGCCTCTCCCGCGTTTTCCTGCCCCCCGCGCGGTGCCGTTGGCATCGGGCACTGCGGCCGGTCAAAGACAGCGTCTGCAGAGCCGGTTTACGGAAGAGCTCTCAAAATTCCCTGATTTCTTGACCCACTGCTGAGCCATGTGTCGCTGCCATCACGTACCGCAGCCCACTGCGTCAAGCTGGTCCCCCCGGGGATGGGACGGCGATCCCCCGAGCCACCGGCGACTCTAATGCGGGGTTGCCCCGCGGTGTCACGGCGCCGGCTGCAGCTCCTACAAGTGGTTTGACCTCAATTTGTTTTTAAATAGAGCCACTTCGCCTCCCGGGGAGGCTGCGGGGGTAGTGCCGCAGCCCGGTGCCCCCGGTGCCGCTCGGCAGCCTGGCGCGACAGGGACGTGGCAGCGGCGTGACTCGCCGTGTTTACGAGAGCGCCGCTTCTCGTATCGCCGTCGAGTGGCACTTGTGCCTCCTGCCCACGCAGGGAGGTCACCGTGTGCCCGCCTGGGCAGAGCTGCCCGCCCCCTGCTCCGGTGCTCCCGTTGCCCAAGGTTCGCTCCGGTGCGGCCACGCTCGATCGGAGCTCCCGCGGGCGCAGCAGAACCCCGGGCGTCGCCCACCCGGCGTTTCTCCCCACGTCCCACAAAATGCGTCTGAACACCTCCCTCTCCTGCCTCCGGCACGGCCAGGCAGGCGTGCAAACGTTTTGGGAGTTTCTGGAAAAGCCCTGTCCCTGAATGGGATAAAGCTGACCGTGCTGGAGGATCCACAGCCTAGCGGCTGCCTTGCTAGGAAAGCTCCCGCCGGCAGCTCTGGATCGCGGTCCCTCTGCTTGGGGACAGTCCGGCCGCTGGAAGAGCTTGTACCGACCAGCTGCAAGGGCGATTTACCCCATCCCGGGATGGGGAGCCCTGTTTTGTCTGGGAGAGAGTCCTTCGGTGGGGACCTGTGGGCTCAGGGGCAGAGTGGCAGCGCCGTGTGACGTGAGCTGACATTAACTCCCACCTGCTTCCGCGGGTGCCTGGCACGCTCGGCCCCCTCCTCACCGAACGCGCCTTTCACTCATGTAGTTAGGAAAAGTTAACTTTTCTATTACCGCTCATTTCACTTATCCAGATACTTAATTACTATTGTCCCAGGGAAATGTCAGTGTGACTCAGAGACACTTTCCCATTAGGAAGAGACAGATGAATATTAAGTTGAGTTGGTGGTGGGTGGGCTGGCTCCCAGCTCCTCTCCCGGGGGACCCTGTCACCCTCCACGCCCTGGACCCGTGGAGGACCCTCTTTCCCAGCTCAGTAGATCTGTGGCACTTTGCTCTGGGGACAGGAGCAACTCAACCTCCCACCCAAAGGGAAGAACCTTATTCCAAACCACATTTCCCTCTGCGTCCTTGGGATTTGCTCAGTCTCTAACACATCTCCCTCGTGTGCAATTACCCTGTGCAGGGAAGTGACTGCACCCCAGGCCGCTGGGTGCATATATACATATATACATATTCATATAAAAATAATGGCTTTGGTGTAGAAATGCTCCACCCCACCGTGTCTGTGGTGCCCATACAGCCATCAATCCCAGCAGAAAGGATTAAACTGCCTGAGGGCTGCCCACAGCCCCTCGCCCAGGGTGTTGTGGTCGTTTGCAGATGCATTTTGTTCTTCTCAGCTTTGTTCTGTGCCTGCACAGCCCAGCACATCCCGATACAGCGAGGTGGGGCCATGGCTGCCCTCTGCCCCTGCGGGGCCTGAGCTCCATTCCCCCCTTGCTGCAGCACCAGAGGTGGAGGGATGGGTTCCTCCGTTGGCCTTGAGGAGGATACAGGGCTCTCACTCCCCACCCCATGCCCTCTCCCTTAGTCCCCCTGTGCTGGCACACCCCCGGCCTGGATGAGTTAAAATCCACCTCCAAACAAAAGCCGTGGGGTCCTGCCTGCTTTTCAGGGTGCAGGAGGATGCCGAAGGACCTGATCACCTGCCCTGATGGAGGACCACAGGTACAGCAGCCGTGGCTGCTGGGTGCCCAGCAGAAGGTCCCAGCCGTGTCCATGCCCCCCCACTTCCCTCACCAGTGCTGGGAGGATTGAGCAAGGGGGCACCAGGTCCAGCAGCTGGTGTTCGAGCTGGGAGAACAGCAGGTTGCTGGGAAACATCCCTCTTGAGCTCCGATAAAAATAGCTCCATCTTCAAGGCAAGAGGGCTGGCTGCACTGCCAGCAACGCAGGGGATGGTGCCTGCACCCACCGGGTGTGGGGACCGGCACAGGATGTCCTGTGGGGTCTGCACCTCGGACCCCGTCCCACACATCTCTTGTGACATGGTGCTGTGGGACAGCGGTGCAGGGCTTCAGGGGTTGCCTGTCATTGCCCCAGTGCTGCTCTCCTTTGTCCCCAAATCAGACTTGGAAATGTGTGAGAACAGGAATCAGGGCAGAGTGGGGAAAGTGGGGGTGCCTTTTCCCTCCCATCCAGCTCCCCCTGCCCCTTTGGCTCATCTCTGTGTTTGCCCTCATGAGGAGGGGGTTTGGGGAGATGTGGAGCTGGGGGGAAGCCCTGTGCCTCTGAGCCCTGGCATTGCAGAGGTTGGGGGGTTTCTATGCAAAGGCTTTTTCACCAGACAGCAGCTTGCCTGTGTGGGTTGGGACATTCCTTTCCAGGGGCATGAACACCCTCTCCCTTCTCAGCAGCTTTGGATGGGCTCACTTCTCTCCCCAGCATCGCCACGAGGACGGTGCCTCTCCCCAGGCTGGGGAGCAGGGTGAGAGGAGATCAGGGCTTCACCTTTCCCCCTCTATCCTTCTTTGACACGATTTTAATTTGATGTCCAGGGGATTCACACCCCCCAGCAGTCAAACCCCTCTGGGACGCAGCTGTGTGGGAAGACGGACAGACCCCATCCCAGTCCTCTGCCTTGTCTGGGGCACGCGTTTCGGCCCTGAGGACCGAGACTGGGCACGATGGAAGTCTCCGAGCGATGCAGCCGCAGTGGTGGGATGTGCGCCTCGGTTCCCGGGGCGGCCGGGGGCTGCGGGGAGGCCTCGGCGGTGCGGGCGAGCCTGCTCGGGAGGTGGCGGGGATGCTGCGGGGCTGATTATTCACAGCTTCCCTCGCCCCGATTGGCTCTGCCGCCGCGCACAGCCGGGCCCCGCCGCAGGAGGAGACTCCGTGGCCATAAAAGCGGGGCGAGAGGCAGCCGGCGGCGAGTCCGGTGGACAACCCGGGCAGCACCGTGGGGCCACCTGCCATTGTGGCCTTGCCGCCGATGACTGGCTCAGCCTGACGCCCGTGGAGGGACACCCATCAGCCACGACCCGTCCTGACTTGGCGAAGCGGGTGCTCGGCGGGACGGGGAGCAGCGGCAGGTAGGGCTGCCGGGGTTGTCATTCCCCTTCCATTACGTGGGCACGATCAGGGGATCGCTCTTGCTCCCCAAAAAGCGAGTTTAAGAACACCCCCTGAGAGTGGCTTGTGGTTGGACTTGTGTTATTTTGGGGAGCTTCCACATGGCTGCAGGTCCCTCCCGTCCCTTGAGTGGTTTCAGAGCCCATGAACAGCTGTCCAGAGCTCTGCTGGGGTTCATTTCCGTGTTGCTGCCGTGCCTGCCATCCTGGCAGGAGGATCACCCAGGGCTTGGAGGGGCAAAGGGAGCGGGCAGAGAGGATGGGGGGTTATCTCTCCCCCTTCTTGGCTCAAACAGCAGTGTGGCTGCTGAGTTTCGAGTGATTCTATTCCAAAAGTTACCAGCTTTTTTGAGAAGCCTTGTCCTGACGGTGTTTCCAGGAAATTTTTAGAGGTGAGAAAAGGAGCTGCTGGAAGGTTGACTGTTCTTCTCCACCAGAAATATGTGCAGGATCCAAACCTGTGGAGTTGGACCTGTGTGGGAGGAGGGATCTGCTCAGTCTGGGAGAGCTGTTCACATCCTTCATTAGGTATAATCACAGGTTAGTCAAGATGGGGTCAGTCTCTGCTGTCCAGCACACACAATCCTGATTCCTTATCCCTCCTTGGGTCACCAGGTCTGTAAATTGGCCCCTGGGGAGCACGGATGCAGCTTGGGGGTTTTCCAACACAAAGCCTGGTCTTTGAAGACTCAAGTGGAAATGGGACAGGGGCGGAAGGGACACCGGCAGGCACCTGGCACAGGTAGAATGTGCTGAGAGTGGCCACAGAGGCTGGGACTCAGTGCTGGCATTGCCAGACCCTGCCACGATCCTTCCAAGGTGTTCCTGCAGGAGGGATGGCACCGGAGCCTTGGGCTCCTCCAGGTAACACAGGATTGAGCTCGAACTCTGCTTTTCTTCTTTCTCCCTTTGTGTTCTTTTTGCTTTTTCCCTCCCTGCTGCTTCTTTCCTCATTTGTCCAAAGCTCTTTGTTTTCTTCTCCTTTTCCTGTTCCTCTTTTGCCAGTCCTCCTTATCCCAGCTTCAGGGGCAGGCAGAGCACTGCCAGGACATTTGTAGCACCACCTGGACATGGTACATTTGCAGTGGGTTGTGCCAGGGTCTCTTTGGCCACGCTGTACTCAGAGAACTGCAGCTCCCCTGAGTGCCATGAAATCCTCTGTCTGCAGTAGGGTGACAGGGATGGGACACACTGTGTCCAGAATGCCAGAGGTATGAACTGTGCAGTGTCAGACAAACCAGCAGCTTCTTCCCAGCACGGGAACATCCCTGGTGCCGTCCCTGTGCGCTGCTCTGGCAGCACCCATGGGGCTACCGGCAGCAGAGGAGCAAGGGAGGGGAAACGGGTGGGGAGAGGGAGGGAAAAGGTTCCCGGTGGGGCTCCTGGGAAGCAGTCATCAGCTCTTTTTGGGAGCTTCATTCCCCCTAGTGCTGCAGCTGGCACCTACCTGTGCAGCTGGCGTGTCCTCGCTCTTCGGTGCTGTCTTGGTGGCCCTGACGCAATAAGGGACCGTCCCTGTGTCTCAGTGGCGAGCGCTGGCTGAGGTCCCACTGTGCTCCTGCCATTCTGGGCAGCTGCCACCCTGTTCCCTGCCGTGCTGCCAGGGCACTGGGAGGATTCACGGAGCTGGTGGCCGTGCAGCCAAGGAATGCAGACAGCTCGACACACGATGGTGCAGATAATTCAAATTAAATTTTAATCTAGCATGAATTAATACTGTGGCATTAACATTTCTTCATCAGTACCAATTACAGTACATTAGCAGCTACTGCTGGCGAACACAATAGTCTCTAATATGCGTCATTAATGTGTAACAGATCCCTCTGGGTCATGCCTTACCCACCCTAGATAAAAGCAGCAATGGAGGCAGGCAGGGGCTTGCAGCCAGTGCACCCCTTTGGGGCTGGCTTTTGCTCTGGGGCTGTCAAGGTGCCGGTGGCACTGTGATCCTGAGGCACTGCAGCCAAGGTTGGCAGTGGCCCCACCAGTCTCACCTGGGATCAGGTATAGCACTGCCACCTGCAGAGCCCCTCTCCCAGCTGAGCACAGTGTCCTCCTCTGCAGAGGCCAGAGGTTCCATCACGGCTCTCAAATGTCTGGAGGATGATGACTGTGGTCTACAGGTAAGCTTGAACCAAAGTCCTTCTTTTTCCCCCTTTCTCCTCGTGCACTAACCCAGCAGACCCGGTGGGTGGGAGGGGAGATGAGGCTGCATTGGTGTGGGGTACAGCAGCCTGGAGTGAGTCCACACTGGGTCATGGCATCACCCCATCCACTTGCCACAGCAGCCTCCGTTTGCTGTGGTTCTTTTCTCCAAGGCCAAGGGGAAGAGCTGGTGATTCATCCACCTGCACCATGCAGACGTGGCAATCACAGAGAAACCCAGTGCTGGGGAAAAAAGGGACTTTACTTTCTGATGGTACGGTAAGAGAGATGGAGAGGATAGATGGGATGGAACTGAGATGAGATGAAATGATGAGACACAACAGTGGTTATGCCCACAGTGATTTGGTGGCCACCAGGGACTGGCTATGGCTCTGGCCTTGTGCCAAGGACCAGGCTGCAGCCAGGGTAAAGGGTCACATCTTGTCATGTCCTTTCTGGGAGTGGAATCTGGAGGTGAGTCATATGGGAATGGGCACGGCCCAGGTCCCTGTGTATGTCCCCGGGAGCAGCTCCCAGATGGAGGTGGTAGGTGCTCAGTGCCTGTGGAGAGGTGATGGGCCCCCAGAGCTGGCACAGCGATGGTGACAGGCTCTGTGCTGTCTTCCCCTCTCCAGGCAGTGTCTGCAGGGCGAGATGGCAAGGCGGGCACTGGCACTGGCACTCTGCCTGTCCCTGTCTGCGGTGGCATCTGCCAACTGTGTCACCCAGTGCTCCCTCTGCGCAGCCCGGACCCGCAGTGCCGAGAGCAGCGTCCAGCCCCTGGTGAGTGTTGGCTCCACACAGACGTGAGCCAGGGAGCCACAGCAGTGGAGTGTCACGGGGGCAGGATGGCAGAGCTGGGTGGCACCTGGCGGTCATGGGCACCCCAGGGTGCTGGGGTTGTGCAAACTTCGGCTTCTCACTGAGATGAGCATCACGGTGGGCACAGAGCTCGGGGCTTGGCGTGGGGACGCACCCGGGGTGGGGTGGGAGGAAGGCAGGGGGTCACCTCGAGCACCTGGGGCCACTGTGGCCACTGTCTTGCAGATGTGCCTGTGGGAATGCCAGGGCTCCTTGTCACCCGGCCCCGAGTGGGAGATGTGCAGGAAGGCGCTGGCGCTCCTGGCCCCGCTGATGGCCCTGGCTGAAGGGACAGAGCCGTCCCCACAGGAGGCAGAGGAGGATGAGGCAGAGCCGGAGCAGGGTCTGGGCCCCGCAGAGCTGCCGCTGGCACTGGCCAAGCGCTACGGAGGCTTCATGAAGATGATGTCCAAGGGGAAGCTGCTGTCCCTGCTCCGTGAGAACGCTCACAGCAAGGGTGGCCTCAGCAAGAAGTTCGGGGGCTTCAGCCGCAAGCCAGGGGAGCGAGCGGCCCCCGAGGACTACCCGGGGCCGGCAGGGGACGGGGACGAAGAGCCCACGGGTGCTGGGGCTGAGGGGCAGGAGCAGCTGCACAAGCGCTACGGGGGCTTCATGCGCCGCATCCGGCCCAAGCTCAAGTGGGACAATCAGAAGCGCTACGGGGGCTTCCTGCGGAGGCAGTTCAAGGTGATCACACGGTCGGACGAGGACCCCAGCGCCTACTCAGGGGAAGTCTCAGACCTATAGAGCCAGGCGTGGGACGGCAGCACCACGGTCCCCACACTGCCACCCCGACTGTGCCATCGCCCCCAGCCCTGTCCCCTGCCCAGCCCGCTATGGCTGGTGTCACCCTTGCCTCATTCCCCCAGGGGACCATGAGTTCCATCCCCAGATATCCCTCTCTGGTTCACCTGCCCATCCTGTGCACCGAAGGGACAGTGCCACTCCCCCGGGTGCTGGCGGTGTGGCTGTGGCCCAGCCCAGGGTTCCCGGGGGCACATTGCTGGGGGCACGTATGCTCCGTCCTCCCGCGGCTGCCGGAGCACAGCAGGGTCTGGAAACCATCACGGCTGAGGTACAGGGCAGTGGGCTCCGAGCTCTGGGAAGGATGAGCCAGGGCAGGATCAGGGAGGTGGCTGCCATCCGTGGCCATGGGCAGAGGTGGCTGGTGGAACCACAGCACCATCACCAGGTGCTCAAGCAGTGCTGAGCCCAGCCCCCACTCCCCTCCCTGAGCCTCTCACAGTGTCCCACTAATCCCAGCACCCACCTGGTGCCCCTGGGTTCCCCCTCCAAGAACGACTCTAGAGGAAGGGTCAGCCCCTTGCCCCAACACCCAACTCCCCCCTGCAGTCAATAAAAGGCAGATGCCAACGAAGCTGAAGCCATGCTGGGTGCTGAGCCTCCTCTGCAGGGCAGAGCAAGCATCCCAAACTGGGGTGCCCGAATGGGCCAGGGTGCTGGCTGTGAGACCTCCAGGCAGCACAGGGTGGTATCCTTACCATGCTATGGGTGCCAAAAAGAATGTGGGACCCCACACACCTCTGGAGCCATGTCCTGAGTGTGACAGGGCCAACACAGCTAAGCAGGGATGCTCAGCCTGCTGCAGGGGCATGTAGGATGCTGGAAAGTATCTCCTGCAGCAGCAGGGAGGGGAGACTTCCTTGGGAATCTCAGCTGCTGCCCCAGTAGGGAAGGGACAGTTGTGCTGAGGGCAGGGGGAAAACTGTCCTTTTTCTACTCATGTGTGACACCACCAGCAGCAACTCAGTGCTGAGGAAGCCCAGCCTGGGCAGCAACTTCACTTTTGAGTGTGTAGCCTCACATAGCAGTTCCTGGCTCTGGTGAGACACAGTTCATGTCCCAGACACAGCCCAGGCACCAGCTCCAGGTTGGGAAAGCAGGGAGGTCCCTGGAACACTCAGCTCATTCACAGCATGGGCTGGAGCCAGCACCCAGCCTGCCTGCACACCAGTCTGGGCACCCTAGCTCCAGCTCAGCTACCTGCAGCTAAAGATGCAGCAGGGCCAGGCCCTGGTCAGTCCTTGCCCATGGGGTGCACTGCTCCCCTCCCTTATGGTGTCCAGAGGAACCAGCACCAAAGCCTTCATCCCAGCCTCGACCTCCCTCCCTCTTCCCTCCCTCCAGCACACACTACAGGGCTGTGCAGGATGAACCCTCCTCTCCTCCTCCCTGCAGGACACACAGAACCCCAACCCCACCCTGCAGCCCCAGTGACAAGGTGACCCCCCCTGAGCACAGGGACACGCTGATGTGCGGGAGCAGCACAGGACTTTTCACTTTTATTATAAAAATATCTTGCAAGCAAAAAGAAAAAAAAAAACAACAAAAAACCCCAAAAAATAATCTGTACAAGCAGTCACATTGCTCCCAAAGCACCCCCAAGGACCCCAGTGCCCCCAAGCCCCCCACATTTCCACTGCTGCAGGAGCCAACAGAGGGCGAGGCTCCACATGGTGGCCCAGATAGGGGGCACATGGAAGACATTTGTCCCCATGGGTGGGTTGGGGGAGCCTGCCTGGCCCCCAGGACAGAGCTGGGGTACGGGGTGGGGAGCATATAAGTCTCTTATAAACTCTGTAGGGTTTGGGGGATTCTTTACTGAGGCCTCAGTCTTAATTTTGCACATCTTATTCTAGTGTTAAGTACACAGCAGTACACCCACGTACAACACAAAACATTGGGGGTTTCAGCTCTAAAAATTAACAGTTACATGTCAAACAGTCAAAACATGTTACACGGTACCTGCGGGGAGCTCCCGGGGGGAGCCAGGCTGGGGGGGCCCTCACACGCTTTGTACAAGCCTGGGGCAGCGCTGGTGGGTCCCAGTGCGGGGCAAGGCTGTGCACAGGAAGATGATGATGATGATGAAGAGGATGCTTGGTGCTGGAGAGCCAGACCTGGAGCTCCCCTGGACAGCAGGGTGGGGGCCTCGGCTCAGCAGCCTTCCAGCCTCTTGGCCTTGGGGCGAGACGGAGGTCCTGCAGAAGGGACACTTGGGAAGAGAGGCGGACACGTTGGTCCTTCCTTTAAAGCCAGAGTTTGGTGTCCAGGCGTGGTGGCAGAGCCCCAGAAGGCAGTGTGGGGGCCCTGCTGGTCCTGGGGAGCCGTGGGCCAGGCAGTGGCATCCCCATGAGAGCTGGTGTGGAGGCACTGTACCTGTCCCCTCAGCCCAGCTGGAGCTTCCCAAGGAGCTGCTGCTCCGCTGGCTGAATCTGCTTGCGGGCAAACCCGGCACACTGAGGCTGAACAAGCCCTCATGGGGGTCCTGAAGGTATGGAGCTGGCAGCCCCAGGACCAAACTGCCCCCAAAAATCCTGTCTCTCTGGATGGGAGAAGACCCCCCACAAGTATGGTGGGCTCCATTTCCATCCTAAAACACAGGTACTGCAGTGCATCTTCACATTGCTCCCAGTGCTTCCAAGAGAACAGTCTTGGAGAGGAGCAGAGCTGCTCCCCGCAGGACAGGGGGTCCCAACAGCCACTGCTCACTTCCTGGTGATCTGGACGCTGGCATACTCGGAGCCGGCCTCCTCGGGGCGCGGGGCCGGCCGCTTGGGCGCCTTGCTGAGGTGCACCATGTCCAGGTCGGCGTAGGTGAGGTTGTCATCACCGTTGGGCGCTTGGTTGGTCTGGATGCAGGCGTACTCCGACTGCTGGCTCATCTCCACCATCCGCCGGATCGTCTTCCTCTCCTTGTCGAAGTTCAGGTCCGCGTAGGTCAGGTTGTTGGGGTCGGATTCCTGTGAGAGGCACCAAGAGTTCCTCCTCTGGGAAGATGCCCCTGTACCCACAGCCCTGTTCTGGAGTCAATCCCACTGCAGCTCGGCCCAGGGGACCGCTGTTCCCTGCTTGTGTGGGGGAACAATGCCAGCAGCCACCACCCTGCAGCCATGCTCTACACCCCATTCCAGCTTCCAATTGTGAGCCACCCTATCACCCTGTCCTGGCTTCAAAACCACTGCCACCATTCCAGAGCTATCACTGAAGCCACTCCATCCCAGCACGGCCAGACTGCCCAGCGATGCCCACGCGGGAGCTGGCAGAACCTGGTGGGATGGACAGATTGCTGCTGATCACGACTTTGCTCATAGCTGCGTCACCAAATGCAAAATAACTCCACAAATAGCCTGGCTGGCTATCGCACAGCTGGTTCTCCAGGCAGCACCACCCCAGACTTTACTGGGAGGAGAAGGAGGAGGAGGAGGAAGGAGGAAGGAGGGTGAAGGCAGAAAAGATTCTGAGAAGTGGCTACTCTTTTCCTGGGGCAGCCTCTCTTCCACCTCCAGCCACAGAGTGGAGACACTGAGATGTTTCACTGGAGAACCACCACCCTCCACTGGAGACACTGAGATGTTTCACTGGAGAACCACCACCCTCCACTCCCACCTCCAGTGGCTCCCAGCCACTCTCCCTCCCCAGTCCCAAGATGACCCACCTGGGTCGTGGCCTCGCTGCTCTTCTCTGGCTCATGTAACCTGGAAGGAGGGACAAAATCAGTCAGAAGCATGGAGCATCCTGTTGCCCTTTCCCTGGTGATGAAGCAGCTGGGGAGGTCAAATGCAAGCCAAGGTCCTTGCAGCTGCACCCAGCAAGACAGGTCCTGAGCATTGGCTCGTGCTGGTCCAGCTGCCTCACTGCTGGCCAGCGATCAGCTCCCACCAGCCTGCTCAGCCCCACCACGAGCAAAAAATCCCCATGGGCACAGAACCCCAGCTGAGGAGATGGGCACAGACTGTGTTCCTGCTGTCCCTTCCACAGGTTTTGGGGATACAGCTCTGTTCCAGTCCTGAGGGACTCAATGGGCTGGAGGTGTCCAGCTCAGAGTTCCCACAGGTTACCCAGTGACTAGAAGAGATCTGCACTCACCTGGCAGATGGCGAGCTTTTACCTGCCGAAAGAGAAGAAGTTTAGGAAAGAAGTAATTCAGGAAACAAGATAAACACCCCATTTCCCTGGGCACAGAGAACACATGCAGAGACTGCTTCAAGGACAAGTACACATCTTTTCCCAGAGGCAAGTGCCTGCAATTCCCTGAAGTTTCAATCAATTTCATTCCAGACTGTTCCTGGGGGAGCACAGGAGGTGCAGGGCAGGGTTTAGACCAGCCAGAGCTTTCCCTGCAGCCTGTAAACAACCTGGCAGCTCTATCCATCACCCCACTGGGTAGGACCTCTAGCTGCACTGCCAGGAGTTACTGTCCAATGGGGCAACGTGAAACCCATGGGAAAAAGAGGAAAAACGGGGTTGGGAACAGCTGCCTCCCTGCCACACAGTCAACTCCCTTACCCTTGATCTGCTTCACCCGGATGAGGTACAGAATCGCAGCCACCAGCAGGACCAGAACCGTGCAGACCACACCCACCACGATGTAGATGAGCATATCATCTGAAACATCAATGAAAAGGTCACCATGGCCCAAAACCTGGTACCTCCCAGTCCCTGCAGCCTCACAACTGGGATTGGCCTAGTGATGCATGAAGCACCAAGGAGGACAGCTCGGTGCCTGCCACCATCACATTCCCCAGCCCCCTGATACGGAGATTTGGTCCTTCAACCACATTTTGATGGAGCTTTGACCTTCCTCAGAGGATGACACCACACAGCTGCCCTGGCAGGCACCCCATCCCAGCAGCTCTGACGCACCCTTAATCATCTGAGACTCCTTGCTCAGTCCCTGGGCCGTGTTGGAGATCCACAGGACAGCTGAGTAGTTGGCAGGGGCC